AAAAAAAAAAAAAAAGTAAAGTAGTTTGTTTGTAATTTAAATTTTTTCTTCTTTTTTCTTCTCTCTTTATATTTTCAATTCATTTTTTAATACGACGATTTGAATTGTAAATTGTTCTTTTTTGGTGATCTAAATGAAAGGATAAATTCCGTCTTCAAAATAGTGTTTTTGAGCTTCGAATGCTTTATTGATTTTAGGGTCTGTTTGAGTTTGATTGCAATGATGAAAAATTGGTGGAAAGAAAATGAATTTCAGGGAAAATAATTGCCTAGAAAATGTTTTGTAAGGAATTGTTAATTAAGTGTGTGATTGGTATAATTTTCTGGGTGGAAAATTTTTAAATTTTGTGTTCGTTTGATACATGGAAATTATCCATTAAAGTGATTTTTTTCTACAATTGGTTATAAAATTTGTTTCCATTGCCAAAAGTAAAAAAAAAACGAAATTTTTTTCTAAAAAAATCATTTCTTAATCAAAGTTTAGTATTCGTTTGACTTTATTTTATATGAAAATGTCTATTAAATTGAAATTTTTTTTATAATTGGTTATGAAATTTGTTTTTATTGCTAAAAGGGAATGAAAGAGGGCACGTGGGGTGTTTTGTGTGGGGTGGGGTGGGGGAAAATTTTTTCTTTTTTTTTATAACCGTGGATATCCGGGTCAATTTGAGCGCACCTCGACTAATTCCACGAGGCCCTGAAGTTTGCGGCCAGATACTCACCTCAGTGGCCTTGAGGGGACTCGAACTGGTGATCATTGGGGAACAAACTCAAGGCCTGACTAATTGAGCAACCCCTCAGGATTGGGTTGAAAATTTTTTCTTGACCAAATTTCTCCCATCAAACACTTCTTTTGCATGGAAATGGAAATTTTTTTTTCCATTTTCCAAGGAAAAAGTTGTGTATCAAGAAAAGTAGCTCACCCTCGGTAACTAACAATAATTCAAACTGTCTTCAGAACATTTTGTGGATGCTTTATTTTGTTTATGCCTTGAGAAACGAAATTTGGCTGTATAATTAAAAAGTTTCATACTTCTTTTTCTTTCTTTTTTTGTCAAAGTTTGTGTTACCAATGATGCCCTTAATTGCGTTGCAATCTTGTCTAACTTTTCCACAATTTTGTGGATGCTTACCTTCAGACAGAAACTCGTTTTCTCGTATTCAGCCTTGATTAATGTTGAATGCAATGGTTTTGCTGCCGACTGCACTAATCCTGGTTTCCTGCAGCTGTGTGCCAGAGTATGAGAATGTTTCCATTTGATCCTTTGTTTGACCCTTATTTTATAGGACTTATTTTTAACCACACATTTTATGGGATTTGTAAATTTTATCAATTTTTCAATCACTTATTTCAACAACTTTTATTGAAATCTATTAAAAATATGATTTTTATTCAATCCAAACATGGGTCGGGAGCGATGAAAATTGAAGCATACACTCAACAGAAGTTTAAGTTTGATCTTTGACATTTTATTTCACTCAAATTTCTTCGTCATTCAATTTAGGATTCGTTTGGCATGATTTTTGTTTTTTCTTTTGCTTTTGATTTCTATAGAATAGCTTTTGAGGAAGCTATCTTAATTCCGAAGTGCTTTTAGAGCAAATCACATTTGACCAGTTTTCTCTAAGAACACTTTAACTAGAAGAAATACTTTTACAAAATTAATCAAATGAGTTCAAAAACAACTTTTGAGTTTCGAAAACTCCTTTTAATATTTCAAAAATCATGTCAAATGGACATTAAGCCCCCGTTGAACAGTAATTTTTAGGATAATATATAGTTAAAAGGTAAGAAAACGTTTTGAATTTATGTGCAAAATATTTTATTGAGTGAATGTAGGTTAAAAATGCATACGTAGAAAAAAATATTTTCAAATAGTGATCGTCAAATAGGGGCTTAGTTAAGTTGAATTCTTTATTGAGTACGTTCATCGAGTGACTTCTTTTAATTAAAATCAGCCTCTTCTGTTGTGTTGATAATTTCTATAAGCCAAAAAAAGGGGATCAAGCAAGAAAATTGGACACTTTTCTTATTCTTAAAGCATGCATATCTTTTTTTTCCCACTGCCCACAAGAATCTGCATTGGTCCAAAACCTGAAAATGGCGTTTTATAATTGTTTTATACTTTGCCTAAAAAAAACTAAAGAGGATTTTTCTATTTGTACCTAAAAAAATGTACATAATGAAATACATAATATGGTGTGGAAGGAAAAGATTAAATGAAAAAAGTTGATTGTATTTTAAATTAGCTAATGGTTGAGTGACATGAGACATTATGTAATTCATTATGTTAATTTTAATGTGCATGTAGCAAGATCCAACTAAAGATACGTTACTTGCAATTACTCTTACGTACGCACTTGAAGTGACTCTACTGCAATGTGTGTTACAGTACAATATTGAATCATTAATATCAACTGATGAGATTCGAGTTTGTTAAAGGATAGTAAATTTATTTAGAGAGTGGCGATTTACATTCACTATTATTATATATATATTCCACTTTATATTTATTCCTATTAAAATCTCAAAATTTTAAAAAATATTATTTTTATTCACATTACATTTCAATATTGTATTTATTAAATTAATTCATTTAAATACTATACATCCACACTTGTACGTTCACACCGTTTTTATATATCTATCACATCTTAATTCTTTCACAATCCTTTCATATTTTCTATCATTACCATCAATATGCATTTTGCTATTGCTTTGCTTTGTCGGGCAATTGAATTGAAAAACAAAAAAAGGTCACGTCAAGAACATGGAACTATAGCTGTGATAAGTGTTTCTACGTGTTTGAAACCCAGAACCTCTCTGGCTGAGAACATGTGCACATGCAAATCTATAATTTTGGCCATCAAAGTGGGGAACCCTCTATTTAATTATGGAAGATCCAAGAAAGTAATTAAATCCACCATGTGTATTAATTGTTACTTCTTTTTCAAAATTATGTTCAAAGCCCTCTTCAAAATATTACTCTATTTGCAAAAAATAATAATAATAAAATAGTAAGTTTATTCACGTATATGTTGGTGTTAATTTATCGTGATGATACTTCGTCATGTCAATAGAATATAATTTTACCTTGAATTAACGTTCATAAGGTTCGTATGTATTTGTGTAAACAAGTAACCTCTAAATAAAAGTAATTATGTACTGGTCGCAAATATCTAAAACCATCCTTATCTAACCATGCGAATAACTAAGAGGTGACGAAAATGAATTTATATACGTCAATTATATTAAGTATTATACGGAATAAAATTTTACCTCTAGCACATGCCATAAGGTCCGTATATTGAGGTGTAAATACGAAGCCTATAAATAGAAATATGCGTTTATACTTCTAGTTGAATATGTCGTAAAACATCTTTATCTAGCCACATAACAAGTTGAATTTGTGCAATCGAGATGAACTTGTCACGACTAAGATGAAACTTTCTTATGATTTTTTCAATCATAATAAGCATTTCTTGGCTACATCTCATGCAATGTCTCTCAGTGTTCAAACACATCTGCATAACTGAATTATAAACCACTTATCAAAAATTTCTTGTTTAAAAAAAGTCTGAGTGAACCATCCTCTTTATTATCAGTATCTTCTGCTTTTCAGATTATAATTGAAAAAAAAAGCATTAGGTCACATGTGTTGCTGAAAAGAAAACCATGTCAGTAATATTTTTCATAACAGAGTTCCACATGTTTCACTGTCCATTTCAAGTTTTCTTTCTAACCATCTTAGTCCCACCTGCACCCCATGAGTTCCCTTTGGGTTAGTACGTGTCAATTTTCCTTTCGTAGTCACCTCTCCGCAATTAAGTATGAAAAGATATGGTGTTTATAACTTAAACTTATAAGTGGTAGCGTAGATTGTGGATCAAAAAAAGGGAAAGAGAGGGAGGAGGGGGGGGGGGGGGGGG